ACCCCGCCCTACCCCGGCCCCACCCCACGCCGCACCACGGCCCCGCCCCTTGGCACCTGTGAGCCAGGTGTGTGCGAGGCGGCCTGCCACCCACCTGCTTCGGGGAGCGCAGCAGCTCCTCGGCCGTGGCCACGGCGGTGACTGCCTGGCTCCGGTCCACGCTGGGGCGCAGGGTGACGGACAGCCCGGCCACCAGCTGCACAGCCAGCTCCGTCACCGACACCTTGTCGTCCAACACGGTTACCGTCTTCTCCGCCAAGATGGAGTCGGACAGTGGGGACAGGACCTGCGGGCCGAGGGACACAGGGGATGTGGGGCTTGCGCCTCTGTGTCTCGCTCCCAAGGGCCCGGGCGCACAGCACGGGACAAAGGCGTTGCACACCCCGGTGACACGTGGAGCCACTGGGGACACTGCCTGGGAGATCGGCCACCGCCCCTCGCAGCTCCTGTCCCAGACGGACAGACTAAAAGAGCCAGAGCCATTGTGTTTATAAAGGAAAGGTCCCTGCCGCCCAGATGAGGACTCCTTCCCTGTCCAAGGTCCGGCAGGGAGGACCACACGGCCACCAGGGCCAGGTCCCCAAGGGCTGCATTCTGAGTCAACTTCTTGATGGGAGAACCGGGTTTCCGTGCTGCCCACCAGCACAGCACCTGCCCACGGGAGCACTGCCCCGTGCCCCGCCTCTGTCCCCCGGGTGGTGTTTTTGTTTATGAGCAGGAGGGAGGATGCAGGCAACGTTCGTGGGGTGGACAGACGGCGGCCTACCTGGATGGCTGTCATGCCGACCTCCCGCCCCACCAGCACCCGGCCGTCCCGCAGCGTGGCCACGTGCGGAGCCTCGAGCTTCAGGGAGTCGGCCACCAGGTGTGTGATGTCCAGCTGCCAGTCGGGGCTGAGCAGGTAGCTCAGCGGGCCCCAGGGCCCGGCGCCCTCCGACACAAACTGGGTGAGGACCCGCACGGTGGCGTGCTGGAACTGCAGAGTGCAGCCTCGACCCCGCTGCTCCTCCTCCTCTGCCTCCTCCTCCTCCTCGCTGTCCCGAGCGGGCCTGGGGGAGGACAAGGGGCTGGCTCTCACAGCAGGACAGGAAGGGAGGGCGCTCGAGAGCTGGGTGCGCGCCCGTCTCCGCCTCGGGGAGATGGCGCTGACCTGGAGCCCATGCCGCTGGAGGAGCCCTGGCTCTGCCGTTGTCCTGCAGTACGGTTATTGACAAGGAGCCGGTGGCTCACGCCTGTCATCCTCGCTGCTCAGGAGGCTGAGGCCTGAGGGTTTTGGCTCACTGTAAGCTCAGGCAGGAATGTCTGTCTCCAATTAACCATCAAAAAGCCCTCAGAGTGTGCCACAAGTAGAGTGCCAGCCCTGAGCAAAAAGTGCAAGGCCCTGAGCCAAGCCTTAGCACCAGCAGACACGCACACACACACATACATGTGCACGTGCACACATGCACACACACACCACATACATGTGCACGTACATGTGCGCGCACACACAAACACACACAGGAGTAAGAATATTTCCTGTGTGCACACACTGTCCCAAAAGTAGCCACTAGCCTTATGTGGCTAAATTTTAATTAAAATGCACACAAATTAAATAATTTAAAGACTGAACTTTGTGCAGAAAATGTTTTTATTTATTTTTGGTCAGCTGTGGGGCTTGAACTCTGGCCTGGGCGCTGTCCCTCAGCACTTCAGCTCAAGGTGAGCACTCTACCTCTTGAGCCACAGCACCACTTCTGGTTTTTTTTATGTAGTTTACTAGAGATAAGAGTCTCACAGACTTTCCTGCCTGGGTTGGCTTTGAACCGAGATCCTCAGATCTCAGCCTCCTGAGTAGCTAGGATGACAGGTGTGAGCCACGAGTGCCCAGCTAGAAAATGTTTTAACCTCACAGCACTACAAGGGAATCTACCTACGTCCAGATGGGGAGACTGAGGCAGGCTTACAGAGATGGGGAGTGGCCGGGGTGAATGGGAGCCCAGCTGGGTTGTCTCCCCTTGGGAGTGTGGAACAAGCCCATTCTCCGGCCACACACCAGGCCACGGGCCTTCATGTTCCCGTGGCCGTGCTCTGCCTCTCTGTGTGCCTGCTGCTTTTCTTGCGGCTCTTCAGGATGCAGGCCCTGCCTGGGACCGTGGGCATGGCCCTGATGGTTACGGTGCAGCATCACTGGCAGCCATCTACATAGGCAGATTCCCTTGTAGTGCTATGAGATTAAAACATTTTCTGACCAAGCGCCGGTGCTCACGCCTGTAATCTGCATCCATCCTCAGGATATCCCATGGGAGGCTGGGAAAGCCAGATCCCGACCTCCTGCCTTTGACAGAACCTGGGTTTGACATGACTTGCTATTTAGCAGCCTGAGGACCGGGCTGGGTGGCCCCTGGGCCTTGGTCCTGGCGGACTGCTGCTGGGGTCAGGGGATTCCAGTGCCTTTGCATTGGCCCTTCCAAGCCAGAGACGGTGAGTCAGCCAGCCCTGTCATGGCTCTGCACCCCCCCTCCCCGCCCGGCCAGGCTCACCTCTTGCTGGTCACGATGGGGACCCGCCAGCCCTTGATCTGGCTGAGCTCGGTGTCGGAGACTTCGATCTGCAGCGGCAGCCGGGGCACCCACACCGTGACGTGCAGGGGCGCGCTCAGGTGCTGGTAGGTGAAGTTCACCACGGCGTCCACCTTGCCTTTCATCTCTTTGCCATTGACAAAGACATAGTTACAGTGGTCGGACACCTGCAGAGACAGGGCGGGGAGGGGTTGGCGGTGCGCGGCCGGCCCTTTCCACACGCGCCCCACCTCCGTGCCCGGCACACGGGCTCAGCGTAGGTTCTCCCAATGCAGTGCTTTAGATGAGCTTTGGGTGTGGCTGGTTTGATGATGCCGGATTCAGTGTAGTTGGTTGATGAAGCCGGATTCGGTGTAGTTGGTTGATGAAGCTGGATTCAGTGCAGCTGGTTTGATGAAGCCGGATTCGGTGTAGTTGGTTGATGAAGCCGGATTCAGTGTAGTTGGTTGATGAAGCCGATTCAGTGTAGTTGGTTGATGAAGCCAGATTCGGTGCAGCTGGTTTGATGAAGCTGGATTCGGTGTAGTTGGTTGATGAAGCTGGATTCGGTGTAGTTGGTTGATGAAGCCAGACTCAGTGTAGTTGGTTGATGAAGCTGGATTCGGTGCAGCTGGTTTGATGAAGCCGGATTCGGTGTAGTTGGTTGATGAAGCCAGATTCGGTGCAGCTGGTTTGATGAAGCTGGATTCGGTGTAGTTGGTTGATGAAGCCGGATTCGGTGTAGTTGGTTGATGAAGCCGGATTCGGTGTAGTTGGTTGATGAAGCCGATTCGGTGTAGTTGGTTTGATGAAGCTGGATTCGGTGTAGTTGGTTGATGAAGCTGGATTCGGTGTAGTTGGTTTGATGAAGCTGGATTCGGTGTAGTTGGTTGATGAAGTGAGATTCGGTGCAGCTGGTTTGATGAAGCCGGATTCGGTGTAGTTGGTTGATGAAGCCAGATTCGGTGCAGTTGGTTTGATGAAGCGGGATTTGGCACGGTTGATTCTGCCAAGGGGTGGGGGTGGTGGACAAGGTGGCAGAGAAGAAGTCGGGATGGACAGACAGATGGATAAATGGGCAGACGAATGGCTGGCACATGGATGCAGATGGGCGATGAAGGACAGACGGACGGACGGACGGGAAGGTGCAGGTGCCGTTCCTCCATGTCTGCTTCAGAGCAACCATCACGGATTTGGGGCCAAAGGGGGAGACTGAGACACCGAGAGGGAGCCCAACAGTGGACACAAAAATCTATGTGAAAGCTTCTAGAAAGTTCTCAGGTAGTGCTTCCTGACATGGTAGGGTCATGAACTCCAGTGAGAATACAGGAAAAGCGAATTCTCCCTGGAGAGCTGCAGGCACACAGCGCTTCTGTGATGACGTCATCAGGGCTCCGCATGCGAGGCGGTACAGAGCTGCTGGTTTCCTTGTCTCTGTGCTAGTCTGTGTCCCCTAGAAGGGACGGAGGTCCCGGGGGCGGGGGACCTGTGGGTCCGGCCCAGGGCTGAGCGATGAGCCTCCGTGACCTGCCCCCCATTCCTAGCCTCGGGCCCCTCCACGGCTGCTCTGGGATCCACTGTCTCCTGCCTCTCACGCTTCTGTCTGCTCGGGCAGCTGGGAGGGCTGGGCCGGAGGACGGCCGCCATCTGTCAGGGACGACGGCGGGGGAGGGAACTCGGCCTCGGCCTTCTCACTCTCCCGGCCAGAGTAGGTTAGAGCACATGTCTACACGGATCGAGAATGGAGGCCAATTTCAGCCACTGTCCCAGACCTGCCATTCGGGTGGACACAGCGTCTCGGAGCCGGGAAGACATTAGCATAACAGCCGAGCAAGAGTTCTATCAGTAATCACTGCTTTAATCAATGTTGTAATTTACAGGCCGTTGACTCCGCTCATTTATTACCTTTCGGCGTGTGTGTGGGAGGGAGCACGCCTCTCCGGAATGTATAAATAACCAGGAGGAGCGCGGGCGCGGGGCTGCCCCACGCGGCGGGGCCTGGTCCCGGAGGCTCCGGCGGGCCTGCTGCTGCGGAGGCATCCGCCTCGTCCTGAGTGAGAGGCGGGAACCACGCGGGCTTCACAGAAGGCGCAGGCTCTCGTGCAGGGGGGAATCCTTCCTTCAGGTGTGCTCCGTCCTGCCTCCCAGCCTCGTCACACTACAGTCCTCTCGGGAGCTCCCAGCGACAGACAAGAAGAGGGAGGACAAAGGAGTCTTCCGGAGTCACCAAAGGTTTCTTCAGGAGGCCGGGTCAGACCCACGGGTGGCCACGTGTCCAGGGTTCAACCGGACACCATCCAGCCCGCATCCTCAGCTCACCAGGAGGGCCGATGGCTCCGGCTGGGAGTGTCCTTTCCATCACGTGTGTGTGTGCACACGTGCGTGCCTGCATACACACACACACACTGAAGGGTTGCAGGGAATGGAGGCAGTGCCGGGAGACAAACGGCAGAGGCACAAACTCTGGGAACAGCCTTCCTTGTGCATCTCTGCTGGCTCTGCGCTCTGGTCTGGCATCCTTGGGACAATGGCAGGCACACAGACGGAGACAGAACTGCGTGCTGGGCCAGGAGAGGTGAGGCTTCCCCCAGGGAGAGGGCTGGGCCCAGCTCAGCCAGCGCAAGCCGTCGCCACCAAATCCCCGGGCGGAGGGGCTGGCGCGACCCCGGCGGACTCGCGTGACCTGGAGAGCAGGGCAGGGAGCGGAGCAGGACCAGGCTCCGGCCAGGGCCTCTTTTGCGGTGTCCCCAGACTCCTTTCTGTCCCCCACCCTCACGACCTCGGCAGGTGCCCAGGGCCTGTGGAGCTCTGGAGCACAGGGATTCTCAGGTGCGGGGTGCTCCAAACAGCCCACTCCCGCCACCCCCAAGACATAGATAGGTGTGCCCCGGGCCCACGCTGCTCCTGTAACATGGCTGCTGACACACACACACACGCACGCACATACACACATGCGCGCACACACGCACACAGCTCAGCCCTGCTCACCCTGCTGGTCTCACCCTGCCCCCTGCCTCTGCCCCCTGTCTTCGGCCCGCAGCTGTGGGAGTGTGACAGGATTTCCCAGGCTGCACTGGGGTAAGATCTCAGAGCCTTCAGAGCCTTTGGATCCTTGATGACCCCCCACTACATCTTATACCTCCTGGGCCCACCGCAGGGAAACACCGGTTAAACCTGACTTGCACCCAACTACTTCTCTCGAGTGGCCCTCGAGCAGCCAGACCGGCAGTGCCGGGCTCAGGCCCGGGGCAGCGTGGCCCAGGCTCCCGGCTTCTTCCTGGGACTCGGATCCCACGCGGCCCTGCTAGGAGCCCTGCACAGCCCCTCCCCGCTCAGTCCGGGAGGCAATTTCCAATCTGAATGCGTTTATTTCCCCAAGGATACCGAGTCTATTCCTGGAAATATTAGTAATGGGCTGCATATCAAAATCATTCGTAAGGAGCTAAGGTCTGGTTCTGCATAGAACTTGATGAAATTCGCTTCCAAGTTTTCTCTCCTGGCCACCATAGGCTCCAAGATGTCTCTCCTCTAGAAGACGGGTCTATCCTGGAGAATTCTCCCAGGAGACGCCCACCCGGCCGAGCCCACCATCCTGGCGCCCCGCCTTCCCCTCGGCCAGCCTCTGACTCTGCTTCTGAGAGATCAACGCACGAGACCCTCCTGCAGGGTGTACAGTTAAGAGCAACGCGTGTGATGGTTGCAACTCTGGGAGGGGACTTTGGCCGCGCGAGGCTCGCAGCGGGTCCGGCGCCCGGCAGCCACTCACCTTGATGACGTCTTCGTCGGCGGACTTGCACTCCACCTGCTCCGAGATGTCCCTCACGGTGCTGTTCTCCTCCACAGACACCACCCGGACCGGCATGGCCACCGTCTTCCCCGTGAGGATGGCCGTGTTCAGGAGTTCTGTGTCCTGCCGGAGAAGCAGACTCGAGTGACCGCAGGACCCCAGCCCGCTGGGGCCGGGCGTGCGGCGGAGGGGATCGCGCGCCAGCGGGCACCGGAGCTGCTTTAGAAGCAACGTTCCATAGCCTTTGTGTTAGGACCTTCACCAAAAGGGAACAGAGTCTGAAGGACGTCTCTTGTCTTCCGTATTGCAGGGGTGTCAGGCAGAGGTTTGAGTGCGGATGAACTGAGGCTGGAGGGAGAAGGCTTGGTGTGGGCGGGCTGACATCTTCCCTCACCTGCGCAGGATGCCGGGCTCCCTCCCCTGGCCGTGGGCGTGCGGCCTGGGTCCCGGGAGTGTCTGCGGATGGGCAGCTCCGGCCATCACCTGACCCAGAACCCCCCAGGTCCAACCCAGACTCATCAGAGCAATGTGCTCACGGCTCGGGCTTCATTTCCTCCCTCAGACTGCTTCTTGGCTAATGGCTTCATTACAGCAGGGCATCCCCTCGAGGGTTAATTGTGATTAGCTTCCTGATGGTTACTACAGCTTCACGTGTGTGACACACACACACACACACACACACAGATCCATCCTACCCTAACCCCCAGGATAACCTGCACAGCACGGGACCAAGCTGCTTGGACCTCAGAGATGTTTCACTGGACACAGCAGCTTCAAGCAGACCGCCCAAGTGTCAAATGGCAGAAGGACATCTTGGCTTCCAGCACATGCAGGGCAGACTTGTGGGTTCTGTGCTCACTTCATTGCATGCCTGTGACCCTGGCCTTTTCTGGATCTGCTGTTCACTTTCAAATGACCTTAGTCTCGTGTCTCCACGTCCTCCCCCCGGTTAGCAAACGGGGAGCTGATCTACGTGTTCCAGAGCTATAGCTGTCTAATTGAGATACCTGTCCTATCAGTCCATGCACTGTGCGCATTATATACAGCAGAGTTGTTTCTTACAGTCTTGGAGGCCTGAGAACCAAACTCAATATTCAAGGCCCGATGAATTAAAAAAAACTACAAATACATGTGTGTGCATGCATGTATGTGGGTGCATGTACATTGTAAACTGATGTACAAAGAGAGTGTGTGGCGCACACAACTCTCAGTGCATTCGATCACGTTTTCTGGAAACTTCCTGGGCCACAGCTGGACAGGGAGGGCTGTGTGTTGGACTGGGGTGTAGGGAGCAGAGCCGGCTCTGTGTAATCCCCCCCCCCGTGTGTCCCCAGGCTGCGGGCGGCCCGCCGTGGCGGGCCTCCGGGCGGCCTCCTGCGGCGTGTTTGGAGGTGCCTCTGTTCTGGAGCCCGCAGGGCAGCGCTGGCCAGCGGGGGTCAGCAGATCTCATCAGCATCACCTCAGGACTCTGCAGAATGCACAGAGCCCCGCACAATCTCCTGCAAGCGCCTCTCCCTCTCCTCCCCTGCTTCTTCTCTCCCACGCCTCCCATCATGCATCCGAGAATTACAGTACGGGGTACTTTAAATCACCACCCTTTCAGCCTGCGAGAGAGCACGTTTGTCCTTTGATTCCCCCTCCCATAAATGTATATTGCTTTAGCTGTTTCACAATTTGTATTTAAGTTTTTAAATACAAAGGGAGTGTAGCATTACTTCCGGAGCGGGGCAAAGACTCAGGAGTACGAGCATGACCGAAATGTCCGGGAGGGGACGGGAGGCAGCTGGGGTGCTTGTCTGGCACAGGGAGGGAAGGGAGGGGGGAGGGGGCTCCCTGCAGGGAAGAAAACTGGGTGCAAAGACAGAAATGGTGGAGCGCAGCTCAGTCCTGGACAGGAACAAGGGGTCAGCCATTCACAGCGCCTTCCCGGGGCCTCTGACTCCTGCTCCCCTCCCCCGCGCCCCTCCCTCAGGCCAGTCAGCATGGCTGGGCCCCCACCCGTGGCCTCACTGGGCACCGACAACTCCCACGAGACCATCCCCTTGAAGGTCCATTCACGGTGGCAGCTGGCCGGCACCGCCGTCGGGAGGGGACACAGGTCACACTGTCTGAATGTCTCCACCAAAGGCAACCTACGGATTCAGCCCAACGCCCATCGCAGCCTCCACGTGCCCATGTGAAAACAGAACTGGGGAGCGAGCGCAGCTGTCCCGGTGGAGGGCATGCGGTGTGGTTCAGGAGAAAGGGTTTGCTTGCCACCGTGGGCAAAGTCAGGCCCGTCCTGCAGTCTCCCAGTGTTCAGGTCACTCCATTGTGCAAAGCAGCCCCGAGCTGGAGCTGAGTGAAGCCCTGGGTGTGTCCGTGGCTGGTGCACGGCTGCGCGTGGGCACCGGCTTCACGGCGCTCCCTCCGGCGGGGGCAGGCTGCTGCTGAGCTCCTCCTCACCAGTCAGGACGATGCAGTGGATCTATGCGTCTCCCTTTACGGTGGTCCCAGAGCTCTGCCCCTCATGTCATTCCCAGAGACGTTCCACAACGCCATCGGGCCCGAGGTCTCTGTCCAGGGCAGAGATGGAAGAGGCCAGTGCTGAGCGCGGCTGGGCCAGCGCCAGCCCTCTCTGGAGCTGGCTCTCTTCCCTGCACGCAGCGGCCTCTGTGAGGGCTGCTTCTGGCACGCGGAGGCGCTGGCTTCCCACCGAGGACATCACCGTGGACACGCGTGGGCTCCGTGTCACCCGTGAGCATCATTTTGGTCAGCTGGGTCGCCCCTTCCTTTCTGATTGGTCAGCTGGGTCGCTCCTTCCTTTCTGATTGGCCAGAGTTACTCTCTGCTGTGTTTTGATTGGCCACAGCCTGTCCCACGCTACCTGGTAGCTCTGAGTGCCCCGGTGCGCGCCCCTGGTGGCTGAGCTTCCAGTGTCAGGCAGGATTCTTTCTGGAACTGGGGGGGGGGTCCTTCTGCGTGTTCTTGTCACTTCCGATCAAGGTCGTCAGTGACGAGCTTCAAAGCACGACTCTCTTTTGGTGACACTTGAGTGTGAGCTCAGGGCCTGTCGCTTGCTAGGCAGCGGCTCTACCGCTGAACTTCCAGACTCTTTCGCAGGGTCTCTGTGGCACCAGAGGGCACAGCAGCCATCCTGCTAGAAACACGGTACCCGAGACGGGGGAGTTTAAAGCCCCCTCCCTCTTCCTTCCCCCCTCTGTCCAGGGAGGCAAGCTGGCGCGCGGGACAGCCGGCCACTTAACCAGGGCGTCGAGCTCCTCTCTGAAGGTAGCTGAGCAGACCCTGCTCCCTCCCCGAGGCCACGCGCTGACAGCTCTGCAGAGTCCGGGCGCAGAGCACTCTGTGTGCTGCTCCGGGAAAACCCACCTCCGTCCTCATTTACTTCCAATTCCCTCACGGTGCGAAGCCGGGTGCAGGACACAAACTTTACCTAGCTGTCAATTTGCTGCTAACACAAGATGGAGAAGCTATTCCACAGTATGCATTTAAAACAAGAAAGCAATTCAATTTGGGCAGATGCTGTTCTCAGAAGGTCTAGTGCCGTAACCAAATCATTACCCGAATTGTCCTTCGGGGCGGCGTGGGGAATGAGCGGTACCCACATCCTGGAGAAACGCAAAGTGTCTTGCAACCCCATCAAGAAAGGGGGCAAGCTGGGACACATGCTCTTCACTGCCCCGGACCTGGCGTCCCTGCTGCTTTTTGTATTCTCCTGTCACTGAGGAACAGGTCATTACTACTCCGGCCGAGGAGGTCTGGAGTCGGAGTTGAGGCATGGCCGCTCCGGCAGGGCTGGGAGGGTGTGGAATGCTGTGCTACCGGGCCCGTCTCACCCCAAGCACACACCAGAGGGAAAGACGTGCTCTGCACCGCCACACCTGGATTCCTCTCCACCTGAGGCGTGATGATCACAGACCAGAGCTCGGACAACCAGGGAAGTGCAAGTGCAAATGACGGGGTCCTTGGGGGCCATGCAGGGGACAGGGTGCCACTCTACCCCTCCAGCTCGCTCGCTCCCTCCCTCCCTCCTTCCCTCTCTTCTATCTCCCTCCCTCCCTCCTCTACCTCCCACCCTCATTCTGTCTGTCTCTCTGTTTCTGTTTTTCTGGATAATCAGGGTCCTTAGAACTGTGTGAGTTGGACCGCTGGGCCATCTGATGCAGACACACCAGGTGAGATCACGAAGCCGTGCCTGAGCTGGCCAGCAGCGGGGCAGCCAGGCTGGTCAGCACAGCCACCAGCGGGCCGTGGGATGAACCCAACGCACCTGGGCCCCACCAGCGGCCCTGGCAGTGAGCGGGCGATGCCTGGCAGAGAAACGTGGTCTGGCCATTGCCTGGAGTTTAGAAGCAGGGTTCCTGGTGCCCATGAAGCCAGAAAGCCTTTATCAGCCGGGGCTCAGGGTTCTGAACACAGAAATGAGCAAAAGGGAATGGCAGGACTGATGGTCAGGCTCGCGCCCTGGCTGAGCAGATTCGACCCAGGACAGGGTGAGGGGCTGTCTGTGAGGCTTGCTGGGCCCCAGGAACCCCGCCTCTGTGGTCCACCAGACACTCCATCCGGCACCACACTGCGCTTTCCCAAGGCCCGAGACAGGGCCAGAACCCACAGCCGCTTGGGAGCGTCTGGCTTCCTACAGTGTCTGACAGTGAAGAGCAGAAAGTTCATGGCTCTCATCAGCAGAGACGACTCCTTTTCCCTTCCAAGGCTGCCAAACCCATCCGCACACCCCACCCATCGTCCTGGGCCGACACTAGCCGGGGAGCCCAGCCCCATCACATAAATAATGGCTGACCTCCCCCTAGTGGCGGAGATGAGCAATGCGGCAGAGGTGGTGAGCAACGTGGTGTGTCCCAACAAAGAAATGGCCCTTGTTTCCAGGCTTTACCTGGAAGAAGCAAAGTGTGGTGTTTCATCAGATCCGAGTCGCAGCTCACGGTCCTGCAGCTGTGGACGGAATCAGAGCCTCTCAGGACAAACAAAACACCCTTGCAATGAAATGAAATGTAATCACACTAAGTGTCCGGGGATGTGAACCGTAGCAACTTGGTGTGTCTATGTATCTCTGCAACACTGGTTTCACACCCTCTCCAGCACACAGGAGTGACAGGA